TCAATCTGATGTGGCACCAATGCACTTTGTGCCAACTTATGTGGTAAACATTACAACAAAAACACCTTCATTGTGTATTTTTTTTTTTGAAAAAATAATTAATGAAAATTCATATTTTATGAAATTACAACGATAACATTCAAATCTCGTCCCAAAAGATTTTGGGGCTGACACGAATCCATACATGATATTGGAGCCAAAATGAAAACAAAGATAAAAAGATAAAGTATGATAGAATAAAAAGATATGGTAAATTGGTAATAAGGTATGATAAAGAAGATACGATAAAGATAAATATAAATAAAATGATAAAGAAGGTAAAATGATAAAGTAGATGAAAATTTAATAATGAAAATTAGTTTTTGAAAAAAATTAAAATTAATTCAAAGGAAAAAAAATAAAAAATAGTTTGGCTTAAAGTCTTGCTTTTGTGGCACAAGACTTAAAGGGAAAGAACCCTACTTCCAAAAATTTAAATTTCAATGTTTTGTTGAAAAATATATTACCTCTGTCCTTTAAAACTTGATCACATTTGATTGGCACCACAAATTGCGTGGTTGAGGTTTGTGAAATAGAAACTGCGTGGTTGAGGTTTGTGCAGAAGAGAGATGATTAATTGGAACCACAAATTCTTTATTTAAAAGGGAAAGTGACAAAGTTAGTGGGACAACCAAAAAAGAAAAGTTGGCAAAGCTTTAAGGGACGGAGAGAGTATTAATTTTAAATAATTAATTTTTCAAAAAAAAAATTAGACACAACGGTAAAAAGGACTAGGTGCCTTAGGATCTAAAATGGTAAAAAGGACTAGGTGCCACATATGTGCCACATCAGTAAGATTTAACGCCGCCATTAGTGCGTAGACCCCTCATGTGCTAAAACTGAATGCCAACAATCCGAATTTGTTTGAAAACAAATTACACACCACCAGGTGTAAATGCATCCAAGCACAGTCTTTTTATGAACGTCTCCCGATCCAACATTGTGATGTTACTAAGGTGCTCCTCCCTTGCTGTACAGGATGAAATCATCCCTCACCTTGAGCCAGGACGAGTGCCATCCACTGTCGATCCCGACACTGTACAATCAGAAAAGGGAAAAAAGGTTTCAAACCGTCAGGTGAAAATCAGTGCCTGGAAACTAGCAAAGTTAGACACGAGTGAAGCCATCAGAGCCGGTGCAAAGGCCAGAGCTTCGTCTTCTGTCCTACGTCCCATCGGCTCGAGGCATCACTATCCTTACGATGCCGACACATTATCTAGCGGGATGAGCGGGAAAAGCAGTCCGGCCAGCAGTCGCGGTGGATTTTATGAAAACAACCCTAGAGCCATGCCATGTAAGAGCTCGTACCCACCTAGTCGTGCGAGCCGGGAAGATATTGAATCATATGCTCACAGTATAAGTAATCTCAGCAGCCCCCTACCGCCCAATCTCACCCCGTCTCCTCTCGATCAATATGGTACCAATCAGGCCCACCCAGCCCAGCAAAAGAAGAACTCAGCAGCAGTTTCTGAGTCGTCAGGGTCGTCAATCTTTTGGGATCAAGAGGCGGGACGTTTTGTAGGTCCTGCCACTAGAGGTGGTGGTACTACTATACATCCTGGGACAGAGCTAACATACACGGGTCAATCCATATTTTTTGGTGGGCCCTTGTTGGGCGAGCGGGTGGCCCATGGGATGAATCGACATCAGAGGGGAGGAGGTCAGCTGCCGATCTTTGTTCCTACTGATTCCCAGCATAACCAGTTCTCGTCTGGGTCCCCTCGAGACTAGAAATCTCGGTGATGTACTGATTCTGCTTTTTTAATCTTCTCAAGCAGAAAGGGTTAAGTTTGCTGTGTTAGTTTTACCAGAAAATTCGCTATCGTCTCCTATTAGCATGTAACATTAGATAAATCTCGACGGTTAATTGAATTTCTTCTTTCAGTGCCAAACCTTTTTGCCATTATTTGTGTGTTATTACCCAATGACATACGCGGCCCTTTTTTAAATCATGATATATATTTTCTTTTTGAAATTGAACTGGTTATTTCAAAGAAAAATGAAGTTGCACTTCCGAAATGGCCTGCAGCATCAGAGAGATGGGGGGCATGTGAAATTGGACTGGAACTGAGTTAACTTTTGTAGCATTGCAAGTTTGCAACTGTTTATACGTATGCATGCACTGATGCACATATGTAATTATGTATATATGTATCAATGTATGTATGCATGTAGAAAAATAAATTTTGGTCACTTATGTAAAAAAAAAGAGTTTTTGCCACTTTTGGTCCCCCGAGTATTGTGTCAGTGACACTTTTGGTACACGACTTTTAATTTTTCCATTTTAGTCCTCGACTATTGTTCCTGAGACACTTTTAGTCCTCTACTTACAAGTTTCCCACATTTAGTCCTTTGAGTATTATCAAATCGACACTTTTAGTCCTTCTACTATGATTTTGACACAATAAGTGGAGGACTAAAAATCTCTCTATAGCAATAGTTGAAGGACCAAAAGTGTCACTTCTACAAAAGTCGAAAGACTAAATACGGAAATTTTCAAAGACGGATACCAAAAGTGTCTCTCGCACAATAGTCGAGGACTAAAAGTGGAAAAATTAAAAGTCGAGTATCAAAAGTGTCATTGACACAATAGACGAGGGAACGGATACCAAAAGTGTCTCTCGCACAATAGTCGAGGACTAAAAGTGGAAACATTAAAAGTCGAGTATCAAAAGTGTCACTGACACAATAGTCGAGGGACTAAAAGTGGTGATCTTATAATAATTACCAAGCACTTTAAATGAAAATGCAGTAAAAAGTGCCTATTAAAATATACAAGTGTATATGTATATAATAAAAGTGCATCGGGATGTTAAATTAAATGTGCATAAGTTTAAAAATATAATTTTTACACTCATAAGTTCACTTGTATGATTAGTGTTGGATTCGGTTCGGACCACCCGGCCCGTGACCCGGCCCGACCCAGTACTGTGCGGGCCCGGGACCGGCCCGGTCGGGCGGTCCGGGACCGGGTGTGGACCCGAACTGGTGGGAATGGGCGGGGCGGGCACGGTTCCGGATAAATGTGACCCGGCCCGGGTCCGGGCCAACGGTCTGATTTAAAAAAAAAAAATTTAAATTGGTACTAGGCTACTAGCCGTTGGGGGTGGGCTGGGGACAACCCAAACGGCTATATAGCCGTTGGGTGGGGTGCAGGGGGGTTGGGGGGGTTGGGTGGTGGGGGGTGGGTGGGGGGTAAAAAAACCTATAAATACTCCTAATCTTAAACATTTTTTCATATCTGTTCTCCAATTCTTCCTAAATCCTATTCTTAACTCTCTACTCTCTAATTCTCTTATTCTCCAATATATTATATTTATTATTTATATATCTACTTTATAGTTTTTACTTAAGAAGTTAAGATGGAAAATCAAGATGTCATTATACGGTATAATTTTGATAAGCAGAAGGACCCGAAGACCGGGATGTGGTACGCAATTTGCAAATGATGCGAGAAAAAATGTAGCATGGGGGTTTCAGGCGGATACGGGATGACAATCAAGCATATGAAGTCATGTGACAAAGCCAAAGGATCGGGAGGTGCGGGAAGTTCCGATTGATTACAATTTTCAAAATGTTTGTCTCTTAAAGTTTGTTTTAATTTTCAAATGTAGTTCCTATTTCATTTCAAATAAATGCACTTGAAGTTTGTTTTTAATACTCGTATAACACTATAAAGTATAAACTATAAAATATAAATTATATAAAAAAAAACTTTAACCGGCCCGGCCCGACCCGGACCCGACCCGTGACTCGGGCGGGTGGCCCGGCCCGAACCGGACCCGTCCAACCCTCGGGCCGGTCCCGGGCCCATGTCATACAAACCGGCGGCCCGACCGGGCCTAGGCCCGGCCCGGGCCCGACCCGGCCCGAGTCCATCAATATGTATGATGTATAGACAATCTACTATAAACATCTAAAATTTTTGCCACTGTTTTTGATTCAAAGTTAATCTAATACATCTATATTCAAGTAATTGAAGGCCAAATTTTATTTACATTTTCATGAGAAGACTACTACTTTATAATAACCTACACACACATACATTAGGCATAATGTCGGGGGACATAGCTCAGCAGGGGGAAGAAGGTGTTATATGGGAGAATCATGGGTTCAATTCCAGACAAAAAAATGATTGTAATTTGTCTCAAATTTGTGGAAGGTATCCTATTGTTACTCACCAAATTTAAGATATTTATGGTCCCACAAGTTACGTTCTTGCTGCATATTCAGAAGCCCTACTTTATAACTGGAGTATAAGCCTACCCTGGATCAAAATGGCACTTTGAAATTCATTTTTCTTTTAAGCCAAGAAATGAAGTAGTAGTTGAGCCCAAAAATGATTCATTCATCATACAAGATTTAGAAAAAAACATTTTATTCCTCATATCTAGTTTGGTTATAAAGTTAGTGTCCAATGCAGAGATATGTTCGCTTTAGATTTCGAATATATGATCATTATGGATCAACTAAAAACAGTGAGAGAGAGACTAAGTTATTAGAATAGACACTACATCAAGTTCTAGACTTAGTCGAATGTTCGAGATTGAATAATTGTATCACTATGAGCTCTATATTAAAACATTATGTTTAGTCCTCACAAACGTCCTTATGAGGCGTTTGACAACACTGTTTTTCAGCTTATCAGGCTTTTCAGTCAATTTTTTCACCAAACATGTAAATTTTGCTTTCGCGCGCTGAATTGTGTAATAAGCAGAAAAAGTAAGGTTGAGGTTACTTTTCTAGCTGTATTGGTTGAAGTTACCGTAGATGACCATTTTAGTTATTTTTACATATAATTTTTTCTTTATTTTATTAAAAAAATATATTTTAAAATTATATTTTCTTAAATCAGCAGAATCAGTCAATGAAGCCACTTCGGCCAGAATTTCATAAATTTCAGAATCAGTCAAAAAAACCGATTTTTTTGGTTATCAAATAGGCTCTTAAGATATGGAATATGACTCGGGAGATGAGGGAGTCATATGGGTATGGGGTAGGTCTCCATAGAACTTTTCTAAAACTTCATCGTTCGTATGACCAGCCTTTAGGGTTTTATTATCTCCATCTCCACTTACACACCCCTTGGCCCTTGTACTTCGGGCGCGGAAGAGAAAATTACTCGTGCAATTAGTATCTGCAGAAATGGAGACTTCACTCAGGTATTGTGTTGGTTCCAATTCACTTAAGCTTCACGCCAAGGAGAAATTCCCTTTGGACTCCGCCACTCATTTGCAGGTAGTGACCTCATATTTTTCCAAACTTTTGTAGTGGGAGTGAAGTGTTTGATAAATATGACAACTTTATTACTCTGTTATTTTCAGGAAAAGTGAATTTATTCTACATCTCTATTGAAGCCCATATGCATGCATATATATATATATATATATATATATATATATATATATATATATATATATATATATACACATGATGCTGCAGTGCTTAATATTGTGGTGCCCTTGTGTCTATTTTCTTGAAATTAACGTTTTTCTGTGCCTGAATTCTCTTTGCTGCGCTCATATGCATGCATATATATATGACGCTGCAGTGCTTAATTTTGCTGGAACGAATTTCAATATCAATATATATTGAAAAAAGATTTTATGAATTATGTCTTGGGTTTTTGAACACACATTGGGCTATGAACCAACTCATTCTTAATAATCTGTTTTCAACCTTAACGGGATAGACTTTTCCTAACTCCTAAAGCTAGATTAAATTTTGAACCCAATACTTATTTCATGGGAAACAAATTCCCACTTGTATTTGTATGCTTAGCTCTGTTCTAGAAATCTGATCTGGACCTTTAGATCCCCTCTAAGACTAGGGAATTTGTGGGCCTGGAAAATGCTTGTCAAAGGGAAAAAGCTAAAGAAAGTAATTTTCTTATGAAATGATGACACCTGCATCAGTGGTAAGTGAAATGAAACTCATGAAGAAAATTTATGACCTCTTAAATGCGCAATGACCAATGACCATATTTACTGGTGCACTGACTTGATGATTCTGCCCGTGACCGTGGAGTTGTACGTTTTGACTTTTACTCTTAATTTAGTAATATTTAGATTTGTTGGTGTGGTTTTTTCCATTTTATTTTGTGTGGTTTTAGACAGATTATTGTTAGTTGTTATTATTATTATTACTCCCAGTCCCTCCGTCCCGCAATTAAGTTACGGGATAAATTTCACACATATTAAGAAAATAAATTTACTGGGGGGTAAATTTTACTGTTTCGACACTGTTTGGACACTCTTTGGCACTGTTTGGCACCGTTTGGATGTAGATAATTTGCCAAATAAGGAAAGTAGGGAAGTGTGAATTTAATTGTGGGACTGCCCAAAAAGGAAAGTGAGAACTTAATTGGGGGACGGAGGGAGTATTTTAATTATATTTAGATTTCTTCACTTTAGCAATTAGCATAGTGCCAATAAATAAATCTATAAGTACCAACAAATATTAACAGATATTTTTTTAAGATTAAGTTTCTATTTTATACCTCACATTTTATATCTTCTATTTTTTTCAGACACTTGCATTGTTATTCTTTTTTAAGTATATCACTACTTGAGCAAGCAGACCCTAAGGCTTTCCTAGGCTGTGTACTGCATTTTGTTTTGTTTTCCTGAATTGACCTCACTTATTCTCGACTATGCTTCATCTGACCCCCTCAGGTCGCACCTAGGTGCTATGCCCCAGTTTGCTTCCTGCTTACCACCTTAGCTAGTTTAGAATACAGTTCTTGGCTCTTTTTTTGTATGTCTATGCTTCAGTTGCTCTTTTTTTTAAAGAGTATACTTTATTGTCAGATTCCTTTTCAGAAATAGCTCACTGATGATTCCTTCTTGCATTTGCTATGTTAAATATGATCAACAGGTTCATGGGGAATTAGACACAGAGACTGGAGGTCCGAGTCACTTGAGTGCAATGATAAGACACTTCTATCATAATGCATGGCCCTTTTTCTATCACCTTTTTATCTCTTGTTCATTAGAGAAAGATGTAATCATAGTAGTCAATGGCGCAAATGGCCATCGCTATTTCTCACCTTTGGCGATTCAGGGGGTCCTCGCCACTATTTTTGGCTATGGCACACGGGTTACAAGTTGCGTTGCCAAATGTGTGCTCTCGCCTCGCTCTCGCCATTTTGTGCCAAACAGTGGCGCTACCGCACGCGTCTGGGTCGTGACTTCGGTTCGATGGTCGCAGTCGCTGTAGCTGGTCGCCGTCGTTGTAGCTGGTCGCATCGCCGTCGATTGTTGCTGAAACTGGTCGCCGACTCTAATCGCTTGTCATCCACGCAGACTGCTTGCTTCGTGGTTTTAGTTCTTCACTATTTTTGATTGAAGTCTGGCAAAATAACTTAAAAGCCCTTCTCTAAAACCCGTTCTCTTTTTTGGTAAAGTAAAAAAGCGTTTCTCTGTTTCTCTTTGTTTCTCACTTCCTCTCATTTTTTGTGGGCCAGTTGACTGCACGGTTGGACCATATAAGTTATTTAATGTGATTTGGATTATTTGTGGTGCTATTTTGGTTATTTAAAAATTTAACTCTTTAGCGAGAAACAGATTCCACTAGGCCGATTTCGGAAATTCGGAACGGTTCGAGCTGTTCTGCAATGGGTTTATTGAGAGACAACATTAGCGATTTGGCGAACTTTTATTCGAGCATTTCTTTCAGTCATGTTAAGCGGTCAGCGAACAAGCCTGCTCATTTGTTAGCTAGGGCGGCTAGTTCATTACCTGATTCGCAATTTTGGCTTACTTATCCTCCTCCTTTCATTGTATCCGCCTTAGCGAACGATTTGATTAATGCCAAATGCCAATTAATTCCATTTATCTAAAAAAACAATTAACCCTTTAATTGGTGATTAAGTCATACACGTATATTGTGTATAGGTTATGTTTAAATTTTTTGGATGTTGTGTTTTATTGGTGCGCTATTATTGCGCCATTTTTGCACCATCGCCATCACCGCGTGAATTTACCCCCGCGCCATGCCGGTTGCCGTGCGCCATGACTACTATGGATGTAATAGATGCTCAAGGACTAAAAAGGTTTTTAGAAGGATCTAGGGAGAACAACATATCTTATAAAATGTTTGTTTCTATGTTTTGAAGTTTGATGACTTGGAGAATTTTTGTAGGTATATTCTTCACTCAGTTTTGGGTTGCTATATGATAGGAAAGAGGCTCTCCGGTACAGTGTGCGTGGGAAGAAATCATTTAGTGTTACCACTGATTTGTGCCTTAATTTTCAAATCAAGGGGCGATGTGATGTTGATCAAGAATTTCAACAGGTTCGCAATAAATGGATAATATAATACTACGTAGTTGTTTGTAGCAAGCAAGACATGTTTGCATTATTGTCACATACTATTGATTGCTGCACTATGAACAGATTGCTTTAGAATTGGTCTAGTACTATAGTTAGGGTCTGTTTAGAGCTCAGAAAGTGCTGGGGGGGAGAATGTTGAGGATCAAAACAGAAGAGCTTTGAAACATCAAGTATCAAACCATAGTTTTATTTCCCCTACATTCACAGAGCTTTTGTGAGGATCAAAACATTGCCGAATAGTATTGGCGTTTAAACAAGCATTTCTTTTTATTTACTTTGTCTATTTTTGAATTGAATACCTTGACAGAGGAAATCAAGTGGGGCAGCAGAATTTATTTGGGATGTTACAAACTTCAATAAAGATCAAGACCTGAGGATCAAGGTCGGATATGAAGCCTTTGAAAAGGTGCATTTTCACATCATCTTCATTTTTGCTCTGTTTGGTTGCAAAAATTTGACAAAGCCATATATGACTCCCTTATGGAGTCATATAGGCTTACTTGGCGTCACCACCACCACCACCACTTATTTTGATAGTAGTGATACCCCCCCACTATGAATGTGAGTGGTTGTGATGATATTAAGGGAGTGTTTGCAAGTGCTTTTCCTTTTAAAAAAGGAACTCTTTTAAGTGATTTCTCAAAAAGTGATTAGTAGTAAAAGTTGGTAGTGTTTGAGAAAAAAGTGATTCTGAAAAGTAGTTGGTAGTGTTTGATAAAATAAGTGTTTTTTGTGTAATAAAAAAAGTAAAAAGCACTTTTTAGCCAAAAGCCGAGAAGCGCTTTTTAAAGTAGAAGTTGTCACTTAAAAACACTAATTTTAGCTTTTTTAAGCCAAAAGCCGAGAAGCGCTTTTTTAAGCTATATATGGCTCCACAAGTGAGTCATATATGACTCCACAAGTGAGTCATATATGGCTCCATAAGACTTCTCGTTTGGTTGAGACTTGAGATGAGAAATAGAGAAGAGTGAGTCAGAAAATGGGTGACAAAAACAACATATAAATGGGAAGAGTTGTATGCTATTTTTTCAAAACGACAAAAACAGTCCTACATATTCCATCAAGATGTTAGATTGTAAAGGATATGAATGGAAAATCATGTGAGTCCTACTCATTGAAGTAGGACAATTTATTTTTTCCCAATCTTATCGAGTTATCTCAAACTGATAGATTGCAAGAACTGTGTGGGTGCTATCAAGGTTGTCCAAATGGGTCACTAAACTGTCTGCGCTTCTTTGTTATGAAGCAACGGTCAGTCCAAGCAATTTTGGATGCGATGTTCACTATGGGTCATCCGGAAACAGTCTCTCTGTGCTTTAGTACAGGGGTAAAACTGCGTACATCCGACCCACCCTTACCCTACCGTAGCTGGGAGCCTTTGCAGCATTGGAATAATGATGATGATGAAATCAGAACCCACAAAAGTAGTATAAAATCATACTTAAAACGGAAAAAATCTTTAAAATAAAAAGTTTCCCCAACTTTATGATTTTAAAGATGAGAAAATTCCTTATATAGGAATAAAACATAAACAAAATGCACATATAGGATTATCATTGTGATAGATCGCTAACAATTTCACAGTATAAACGTAGCACCAGATCAATGAAGAAATATATTGTAAATGATCAACGATGTTTATTGAGCGGGAAACGATCACAGTACGTATACAAGCCTTGGGACTGTTCGAGAAGCCCACTCTCCAAGCCTAAAGCCAACTGAATAACAACCTACTTTATTTAGCTACTCTCATCTCTATTTATAGTTAATACTCCCGTAGGAATAGACTACTAATATAGCCCATAAACCATTCCCTGCTATTAATATTACAAGCCCATTTATTATTATCTATAATAATGGGCCCACTTATTATTTATTCCTATCAATACTCCCGTCCTAAACAACCACCTTGTCCTCAAGGTGGGTGATAAGGAATAGCCATGATCTTCAACTTCCACTTCATTCTTGCACCTCTCCCCTTCCAGTACTTCGCTGATTTCTGGGCTTTTAGCTTCTGTGCTTGGATCTTCATCATTGCTTCTTTCACCTTTGGCTTTTCACTCCATCCAAGTGATTCCTGAATCTTGTTGTTGTCATTACTTTGGAGGATTATTCCTTCAGGCTGCTCTTCTACACGAATTTCCTCTGATTCTTCTCCTTCCTTCATCTCAATTGCTCTTCCTTCATAAAACCCAAAATAACCATCACCAGTGCAAGGTTGTGAAATTCGAGATCCTAGCTCGGATCGGAGGGGGATGAGGAGATCGTAACTCTTGGATCGTAACTCGAATCGTAAGATCCTAAAAGCAAAAATATCATGCATATATATAATATATATTTAAACTTAAAATTTATGAAATATGAATAACAGAATAACATACTGTCATTTTTGAATTAAAAGTTCAAAACATGTAGCATAACAAACCTAAGATAAATGAAAAAAGACCCTCAAACAAAATCATGCAGGTTAAAAAAGATCACCCTCAAACAGAGATGAGTACGCATTTACAGAGCGACACCCCAAAGCCTTTTTATAGAACTGATTAACTGAAGATGAAGAAGATGAGTCGCTATTGGAGTCTGGTCGCTCAGGTACGTCGCTTGGGGAGTTGGGTTGCGTAAATGTTTTTTTTAAATTCAAAAATTGAGTCCTTTGCGATTTCCGACTCTCAGATTACTCTCAGAGTCATTTGGGATTTCGACCAGTTGGGTCGTTTCGATGGCGAAGATCGTCATAGATCGACGATTCTACGGGTTTACGATCTTACTCGTCGATCCGGCGAGTTTGCTGAAATTTCCGATCTCTTCTGCGATTCAACTCGTCCCAGGTACCTGAACGCGTAGAATCGTACGATTCAACGATCTTACTCGCGATCTTTACAACCTTGCACCAGTGTCCTGCAGGATTTGAATCATGGTTTTCAGTGATATCTTACTGGAATTCAAGTGTGGATCCCCTTGAATCTGCTCAACTACTCCCTGAACCTTCCATTTTATACTTTGTTTCTGAAAGTTTATTTCCACATCACCCAAAGTAGTCTGCCACTCCATCCCAAGTACCAAGTCTGTACCTCCCTGATCCAAAACATAAAAGGGCTGATTTATTTTGGTACCTTGTAAACCTAGTGTTAGATTCTCACATCTGCCATTTGTGATAATCTTCTCTCCATTACCAATTTGAACTCTGTATCCTGTAATGGTGTGTATGCTTAGTCCCAATTGTTTCACCAACCTCTGTGATATAAAATTGTGGGTAGCCCCACTATCAATGAGTACTTCAACCTCTGCCCTCCCTGCAGCCCCCTTCTAAACTCCCTTTTCCTTGAAAGTCCTTATAGAAGGTATCCCTTCCTTACTCATAAGAGACAGCTGCATTGACTTAAATTCCATGGTGGTTCCTTCTTTAGCTTCAATTTCCACTTCTGCACCTGGTACTTCTTCCTCACTATCAGAATCTTCCACAATTCTTTAATTTGCAGGTATGTTCTTTGTTCCATTTTCCCCCACACTTAAAGCAAAGGCCCTTCCTGCTCCTGTCCTGATATTCTTTCTGTGACAGTTGTGACCCCACCCTTATGATGTCTGAGGGATGAATCTCTGTAACTCTGGTCCCCCTAGAATTGAACCAAGACTGGTTATTCTTTCTATCTGCCCCATTCTTCTCGTTATTATGAGGTCCCGTATTGCCAGGTTTGGACTTGTACCCCTCAGTCCAAGCTTGTGGTTTAACAGCTGCAGTCCCCTTCTCTTTCCAAGGTAACGTTTCTTCTTCTTTTCTTCTCATGTACAGAGCTTCATTTCTACTCTCAATCAACAAGGCCCTGTCCATCACTTCAGCTAAGGAATTAGAATTATGTAATTTCAGCTCTGCTTTTATCTCCTCCTACAAACCATTGATGAAAATTCCCCTCAGAATCCCCATGTCCACATTAATCTTAGGTGTTATCACCATTTCAAATTCATCCCTAAAATCCTTAACTGTTCCAGTCTGTTTCAAGCTCAACATAGGTCCACAAGGGTTTTGTATTAAATCTGACTGAAACCTGCGTATGATAGATGCCTTCAGATTTTCCCAATTCTTCCTTTCAGTTTGGTGTTCCCACCAAATAAACCAGTTTAGAGCTCGATCATCCATCGCGACAACTGCAGCTTCCACCTGTTCTTCTTCATTAATCTGGTTCAGGCGGAAATATCTCTCCATTCTAACAATCCAATTATATGCCCCTTCCCCATTAAATACAGGTAAATCAACTTTTCTACCCGTATGGCCGTATGTACTGGAAACCTATGAATATCCTCGGTCCTTCTGTGATTTTGGATGTAAGAGTGGTTTGGATTACCTCCTGAAGTCGCCGGGCTATGAGATCGTCGCGTGTGGGGTCGGACTTGCGATCGCGATCTCTCTCTGGATCGCATCTGTTCAGTCATCGCGGCCATGGATGCCGCCATGTTTGCCGCCAAATTGTCCAGTGCAACACGTTGATCAGCCACCGCTGATCGTAGTCCTTCCTGTACCTCCGACAGCGTTCCCTGTATCTTTGTGATGTTCCGTTCCACAGTTTTCACGCGAAACTCCATTTTCGCTCTTGTCCTTGCCATTCACCACCGAACGTAATAGTTGCTGAGGATTGCGGAACACTTCCGATCACCAGGAATGAGTGCTCTGATACCAATGATAGATCGCTAACAATTTCACAGTATAAACGTAGCAGCAGATCAATGAAGAAATATACTGTAAATGATCAACGATGTTTATTGAACGGGAAACGATCACAGTACGTATACAAGCCTTGAGATTGTTCGAGAAGCCCACTCTCCAAGCCTACCAACTGACTAACAACCTACTTTATTTAGCTACTCCCATCTCTATTTATAGTTAATACTCCCGTAGGGATAGACTACTAATATAGCCCATAACCCTTTCCCTGCTATTAATATTACAGGCCCATTTATTATTATCTATAATAATAGGCCCACTTATTTATTCCTATCACATTGTTTTCTTCCTAAAATATAACTTATTCACTCCTAATAAGGGAAATTTTATACTTTTAATAGGATAAAATAATTCTTATTTTCGGAATAAAATACATGTAGTCCTATCTATAACAAGCCTCACAACCCGTTATCTAAAGCTTTGGTTCAATGCATGACCCAATTATCTCAGGCCATTTCGAAGTCTACTGACTTGTTTATTGCGCTCCTTATTTTGGTCCATGCATTATGTAAGGCAAGGAGAGGGGGAATTGCTTTGAGCAAAGAATTTCTGGACAAGGCCAATATTATGTAAGGCGAGGAGAGGGTGTGGGAAACTTACAACCCTAAAAGACAAAACTTCGGAAAAAGTTAAATTTCATCATGGCTGGGTTTCGCATCTGTGCCTATTTTCTTACTATATACCCCTTTCTTTACCAACCCATTGACACTAACAACTGTGTTAAATGGAGCTATCAAGTAGTATAATACATATTTTATTTTCTCCAAAATAACCATATCTATAATATATTATCTAATGCTCATATATTCTTACGATTCATATTCATATATTTATAATGAAATTTGATTAAACTTATTTATTTATTGAGAACATTATTATGTTATTAATTATCCTGTGCACATTAATCGAGACATTATCATTAAACTTATTAATATTAAATTGTGAGTTTCCTGTTATCTAATTTTTTACAAATATTTACGTTATTTATAATAAATTTTACGACTTACTATTCGATTCTCCGGTTTAATTTTTAAATTCATATACCTATTCGATTTAAAAATGTGAATTTAACAACCTTAGATACTACCTTATTTGTTTCTTTCCTCATTTATGCCCAAACCAAACAAGCAAGTTTCATGCTTTCTCTTATTTTTCTCTATATTTTTTTCTCAAAACCAAGTAAGCCTTGATTTTGAAGGAATATCCGTAAGTTTGTCTTAGTTTACACTTGCTTCCATCCCATGTGTTTGGTAATATATCTATTGCACTTCATGGTTCATTACACCCCCCCCCCCCCCCCCCCCCCCTTCTCCCCCAACTGCATGGAAAAGGTCCTTGAAAATTAGTTCTTTCTTAAAAGTTCGGAAAGGAATAAATAACGCCTCTTCCTATATTCTTTAATAGTTGCAACACTTTGAATTTTACAGTATTGACATATTTTACTTTGACTACATTTTATTTATTAATGTTAAAAAACTAATATTATTATAAATATTAGAACTTTTTTCTCAAAGTAAGATTTCAAAACTATGATTTTTTTATAATTTTACTAACAGTCAATTGAATATATTATTGGTGAAAGTTGTGTGTTGAAAAACGTGAAATTCAAATGTTGCAATTAAATAAGAAGGGATATAATAAAACGAAAAAGCATCAATTTTTAAGTGTCATGCTTTCACCGAAATCTGATGAAAGTTGACTTCATCTGTAGAAGATGTTTTTTATATTCCTTGGCACATCTTCATTGCAAATCACATGCATGCTCGCTTTTACCCTAAGTTTGCCACTACAACATTAAAATATCTATATTTCCTGAACTCCATAACCCATATGCTTAGTGGATGTATTTTACGTTCTTACCAATGTTTTGTACTTAAGCTTTTCACTTGCCTCTTTTGGACGTCCTAGCTAAAGTTGCTCATTTCTGATTTAGTAAATAATTAGCACTCTTAAATGACAAATTAATCATTAAATATTAAAAAAGAACACATATAACATCACAGTATTCATGAATGACCTTATTATGTTTTATACCCATCAAAACTTCTTAAAATGTACTCGAATTACCTTATTTAATTATTGTCTAAATAACCGCTTCATATTTAAATGAGAAACTTAAGCCGGGTCGGAGGTAGTATCGGTAGTATCTCCCCTTGTTCCAAAGAGTAGGATGTTGCTTTTTTACCTCCAATTTTTCTCTTCCTTTATCAGTTGTGATATTTACATTTTCAAGACAGCATTTGTTACTCTTTTTTGTTATTGCAATTTTACCCTTCTACATTCAATTTATCTATATTTTGTTGTGGTGGGTATCAGGTCCCGTATGTGCAGATTAGGGAAAATAATTGGACGCTGAACGCAGATCTTAAAGGGAGGTGGAATGTTAGATATGGCTTATGACTCTATTATTATTAATATATTATTATTATTATTATGGGAATCATGCTAACAATATTCCCAGTTGCAGAAAATCATCCGCAGATGCTTGCGAGTTGCGAGGCATGTACAATGAATGTTGTCCATTATTTTTAACTTTCTTTCGGGTCGTTATGCATGCCCTATGTTATTAGAGTTTGAAATATCTGTTTTTTTACTCCCGTATGTTGCATTTCATCCTTGTTTCTATCTTTCCCTCTCTTTGGACTCAGAATTAGGGGTGGACCCGGGCCTGTCCAGTTCTGGGATGGGCCTGGGCCCGGGCGGGCTTTTTTTGGGAAAGGGAGAACCGGAACTGACCCGGGTATAAACTGGGCCCGGGCCTGAGAATAAACCGGATCCGGGCCCGAGTATAAACCGGATCCGGGCCCGGGCCATTCCGGGTCGGGTCTGGTTCTATGTTTTTTTTGCTTTCTAATTAACCCCTGACCCCCCAACCCCCCCCAAACACCCACCCCTAACCAAGAAAAACAAAAAACATTGAAAAAACAAAAAAAAACCAGGCCGGTTCAGAAAAACATGACCTGAGCCCGGCCCGCCCAATCCGCCCTAACCGTGTAAAAAAGAGACTCCCCCCTCTCTATTTTAGACCTTGATAATATTCCTTTACTTTTTATAATAAAATATGGATATGGCTTTACTTTATCAACTTGGTTATGAGTTTATGATCTAAGTAGTTACATTGCTACACGATGGCAACTCGGTCAGGGGTTGAGCAACAATTAAGATCGATTATTTAGTATTACTTCAAGTAATATATTGTAGATTAAGAAAGAATGACAAAAATAATACAATGGTTTATACAAGGGTTTATTCAATAACCAAACTTGTGCTGCGGAAATAAAACATACAATTAACTTAACAAAATTGTCTATATAAAACTGGTTTCATACAGCCATACTCTCCCGTAACTAGGCCCCTTGTTCACTCGGTTTTGGAATATAAACTTTTATTGTCTCGTTGATCATCCCGTGCGGAAAATCAGACTCAGGTTGTTTTTACTTGGATTGTAATTCGTCTCAGACCAAAACAGACCAGATCATATCAAATCAGACTAAAACAGATCAGACCATATATTATTATTATTATTATTATTATTATTATTATTATTATTATTATTATTATTATTATTATTATTATTATTATAGAAATTGCTCTAAATAGGAGTAAAAACGTTTTGAAATTCCAAAATAGGAGTATCATGTTTTTTATTCCCTGAATATGAGTAATCTGCCAGTTTGGAAAAAATGCCATGTTTTAAAGTTTAGTAATGCCAAACTTGACAGACATTTACTCCTATTCAAGGAATAAAAAACAGACATTTACGCCATCGTCATCGCCATCGCCATCACCATCACCATCATCATCATTGTTATTGTTAGTATTATTAGTATTATTACTATTATTAATTTTAATTATAAATGAATAAAATATAATTATTTAGGGATTATAATATATATATAAAAATAAAATCTTTATGCAAAAAATATAAAAAATGAAATTTCAGACCAGACCAAAACAGACCAGACCAGACCAGACTAAAACAGACCAGATTTGACTAGATCAGACCAGACCAGCAAATTAAAACGTCCTCACTATTCACTAGACTACCTTAAACTAGAGCTTTCATTTACTCTATTAAATTTCATAGCTTTGATGAACCTAGATTAAACAATAAATTTGTCTACAACTGAAAACGGTTAGTTGTATAAAATCAAGTAAGAATTTATTAACCTTACCATTAAACTACCTTATACTGAAAAAAGCAAACCGAATTTTATAATGAGAAAACTACCTATCAACCAACACTAACAATATATAATACTCCACCTTTGATATATTATTATTGAAATAAAACCTCAAGTACAAAGCCTCACCTCAGTCCGATAAGCCCATACCAAAATCCACCTTCATTGTGCTCATCATATGCATCCACGACCTATGTCAACCAAAACATAACCCGAAACAATTTTCAACAGCCTAAAATAAAAAAAGGCTAAAGGGCCAAATAGGTCCTTGTACTCATATCAATAGCTCAATTGGGTACCCGAACTAAACAAAGGTCCAATCCAATCCTCCAACTCTTCAAAATCGTTCAATTTTTTCGTTTAGCCGGTAAACTCCCGGTACTCAATTGAGCTATTGATATGAGTACATGGACCTATTTGACCCTTTAGTCTTTGAAAAAACGAAAAAATTGAACGATTTTGAAGAGTTGGAGGATTGGATTGGACTTTTTTTATTTCGGATACCCAATTGAGCTATTGATATGAGTACAGTGACCTATTTGACTCTTTAACCATAAAACACACAATTAACTTAATAAAAAAATGTATATAAAAGTGGTTTCATTGTTGACGGAAGTGATAAAATAAAATTGGAAAGGCGAAAATATTCTTCATGTAACTAGCGAACAAAGTCGCAGCGCTCTGCAAATCTGTGTTTTATTGTTGACGAAAGACCTATGCAACGTCTTTGTCATCATTGGAGATCTGCACAATTGCAGGTTAGGAGAGAGACCTTGCCCCTGCTGATTTGTTTTGCCTCCCCCTCCATTTTTTTGTCAAATATACTTTTATGCGGGTCATTCTAACCTTCATTGTACTTGCCGTTTCATTGTCCTTCATGAGCTCTACTGGCTCCCAATTGTGAGTCCAATTATGCTTTATGATATCCTGATTTTGGTGTTTCTGCTCACATGACTTGATACTTAGTTAATAAATCTCTTACGTTGGTTCCATCTTTGTTAGTGTTGCTGGCAGCTCTAAGTTTTCTCATGATCGTATGTTCTAGCATTTTGGGCATATCACAAGTATCTAGTCATACTTGTTCTATGTCTTTGCAATTAATTTATACTAATGTTTGACAATCTCCTATTCTTTCTAATTTAGGTTTTAAATATTATATTTTCTTTGTTGAAGATTTTTCTCATTTTACATGGTTATATCTCATGCTTAGAAAGAGTGAAGTCTTTAGTCACTTTAAAACTTTTAAATCTTTGGTCCAAAATTTGTTTAATTGTAAAATTAACTTTTTTCAGAGTTATGGAAGGGATGCATTTGTTAATTTTGATATGCAACAATTTTTTTTCTGAACATGGGTGACATTTATTTTTGAAAAGCTTGCCCGACACACCTCAATAAAATGGAGTGGTTGAACGTAAACATCATGATCTCCTAGAACTGACCAGAATCATGCTTATTGAAGTCTCAATTCCTAGTCATTTTTAGATTGATGCTATTTTTGCTACTATATATTATTAACAGATTACCTTCTCATCTCGTTATTGGTATGTCTCCTTATAAAAAACTTTTTAAAAACTTCGTATTTTTCTTTCCTACGTGTTTTTAGTTGTGCTCGTTTTCCTAATATCTCTGTTTCTTCTTCCAATAAACAAACTTTATACCCGCTCTATTCAATGTGTTTTTCTTGGCTATGCATCTTGTTATAAGGGTTATGGTTGTCTTGAGCCTAAATCTGAGTGCGTCCTCATTAGTCATCTTGTTCGTTTTCATGAAAATGTTTATCCTTTTAAATCCTTGTATTCTTCTCCACCTCCCTCGGCCCTTTCCTGCACTTCTTCTCAATTTCTTCTTACCAATTCTCTATGGACAGCCAATTCTAGGTCATCCATGCTTCCGCCTCTCTCTCTCCCCGTCTGTCTACCCCGACCAACCCTACTATTCCGTCCAGCTCGTTAAATCCAACTGTTTCACCTGCTTCAGTTGACCCGCTAGCCCAGTACGATCCATCTACCGAGCCAGACAGTGGCGGAACCAGGACTCGTGACTCGCAGGGGCACAATAACAAAGAAATGATATACTAGTCTAGAAAAAAATCATATGCATCACGAGAATAGCAATAAACAAAACTATAAAATTTAAATAAAACCACTGTTTTTGGAATGATCTGTTGCACCCATTAAATCACTTTGTGAAATTTAAAGTCACGCGGTTGGCAAGGACCTTTTCTCAAATAACGTCTCCTCAACTCATCTCTAATATTAACATCATAAGTCTCAATCGGCATAACTTTTCTGTCCAACACTTTTCTGTCCGAACGCCGTCCGAACACCGGCGTTTGGGGCGGTTCCCGGCGGAATATTTTGATGAAAAGTTTTGAATATGTTCCTCATCAAGTCTAGTTTATTCATACCAAACTTCAGCTCAAAATTTGATCGGGAAGGCAGTCAAATAATTCGTTGAAGTTAACTGCGCCAAATTATACATAGAAAAACGCAGTTAACTTCAACGAGTTATTTGACTGCCTTCCCGGTCGAATTTTGACATGAAATTTGGTATGGATAAACTATACTTGATGAGGAACATGCTCAAAAAATTTCATCAAAAAATTCTACCTGGAACCGCCCCAAACGGCGGTGTTCGGACGACGTTCGGACCGGGAGGTGCTGGACCTGAGAATTTTCCAATATATATATATATATATATATATATATATATATATATATATATATATATATATATATATATATATATATATATATATATATATATATATATATAAATCACCGCAGGGGCACGGGCACCCCTAGCCCTAGGGTGGGTCCGCCCCTGGAGCCAGAGTCGTCCGCGTCCCTTGATCGGTCCGAGCCTGATCCATGTATCCACTCCGTGCCATTTGACCAACCCAACCATGACCCGATTGCCCAACACGTTTCGCCTTCCCCAAATTGCTAGCCCGTTCCGCCTGGCTGGTTCGCTCTGCCCATTTCCACATGCAATATCCACCTCATGCAAACTCGGGCAAAATCGAGAACTTTCAAACCTAAATCTATTTTTAACTTAAATATCGTAGTTATTTTAGCAAATCATACTTGTTTTTATGAGGCTTATAAATCTTTAAAATGGTGAGAGACTATGACTGATAAATGTAATGTTTTTATTATTAATCATACTTGAGAGTTAGTGTTGCTTGACAATTCTAAATCTATTGTTGGGTATCATTCTTCTGATGGTTCTATTGAGCGCCATAAAACATGCTTGGTTGATCAGGGATTTAATTAGCAAGCCGATGTTGATATTTTTGTGACTTTCAGGCCTATCATTAAACCGACCACAGTTTGTAAAATTCTTACTTTTGCTATTCTTTTGGGTGGGTCATGCGTAGCTGGATGCTAAATATTCTTTTCTACATGGTAATCTCACTGAAGAAGTGTACATGCATTAACTGCG